AGAGAGATTGTGTGGTAGCTGCTGTGTCCACTATCACTTAGACTTCATCCACGCGCGATTCACCGCGTTTGCCTTCAGTTTGTTGAAGCATGTGGTGGACATAGTCGAACTCGACGGTTGACTGTTGGATGTCTGCCTCAGTTTAAACTAATTCACGCGTTATTCACCCGACAGGACCCCTAGAGGACTTCATCGCCACTTACGTCGGTTTAATATTAGGGACCCGGGTATTGGTTTTTCGATAGCATCACGATGGGCTCGCAGTTAACGCAGACGTAAAATGTGCAGTTGCAACGACCTGATAATGCCCATCTGGAATACTGTTGAGAATCGTTCGTTGTGTGTATGCGTGCGCGTGTGGCCTATAAAGATTGCCCTTAGCGGTGATTCTGGTCGTGGTGCTGGGGGTGTTGGTTTATGACGTGAAAGGTTGGTTGATCCTGTTGACAAATTATTGCATCCGGAAATGCCGAACGATGTTTGTTGACAATATGGACCCGTTGACAGGCATTGGTTGCGTTGGGCGTTGACAGGACGTAGTGCCTGGACCTTTTAGGCTTTGGCGACTGCTTTGGTGACGGCTGTGCCATTTGATTGGCTTCAAAGATGGCTGTGCGAGAGTATGACTCAGTTCTCGGCATGGCGACACCGAAACACGGACCGAAATCTTGGGCTTCACTGATTGGCTGCTGCTAGACATGGCTCAGGTACACACACGCACAAACTGATCGTCAAAACGGCTGACTCAGGGCGTGGTGAACATTTTTTGGCTGTCGCCCACCTCTTTTCGTGTCTGATGATTAATTTAATTTCTCACTGTTGACATTCGTAGTCCGACAGGTAAGGACTCCAACGTGAGTCGAACATGTAGTCTATCGCAGGGAGTTAAGTTAAACCCTAGCAACTGCGATCTTCAGAACATGGTTCCTTAGAGGCGAAGAAGTCAATGGAGGCCAGAATAGTAGGAATAGTTTGCGTACACAAAGGAACGAAGAATAGATGGAAAGAGTTTTGATCTCGGAGCACACGTCATTCCGCTGGAGCGCCGTGGTTCTAAGTGATGTCTGGGGCCCGAGGGTGGGGAAAAAGGGACATGTTCGAGTGGTTTTTGGGCAGCCGCGAGAACCTAGACGCACGTGTGTGTGTCCGAGTGGAAGTAGATCAAGTCTCTGCAGGTCAGCACGTTTGA